AGAGAGAGAGAGAGAGAGAGAAGAGAGAGAGAGAGAGAGAGAGAGAGAGAGAGAGAGAGAGAGAGAGAGAGAGAGAGAGAGAGAGAGAGAGAGAGAGAGAAGCGAGATAGAGAGAAAAGCGAGAGAGAGAGAGAGAAAGAATGAGCTAGGATTACAAATCATCAAGCTATTATCCTGAGAAGATATTTTGTGTTGTCTGAGTTTCTAGATTGGGATTGGATATTTAAGGCAGCTTATGCATTTATTGTACTTTAGTTTATTAGGTAATTAGCTAAGTTAGAAATATGATTTTATAGAAAGAGGAGAGATGATCAGGTTACGGTTGAAGGGTATCTTCTTTTGCCAACTTTAATTGTACCTTATAAAGACCAAGTACTATCTTGAAATCAGCCAAGGTTCATGTACGTATTTATGTAGGTATTTATTTATTGAAATGTCAGGGTATTTAATAAATGAGCATTTAGGGAACTGAACAATTAACTGAGATAAATGTTGAAAGGCATTCCTTTGATTCATATGTCTTATAGGTCAATAGGTGGTGTACTATTGAATACGCTAAAATTTCATGGGAAAAGATAACATGATTCAGAATATTCATTAGCCTTAATGTGAGTTAGATCAAGGTAGTTAGCAAGACGACAGTATAGCTCGTACGGTATCAGATTTCTTGAAGGTCTTAGGTTCTTAGTAAAGAATGTGGGGTTTGAGATATCCTGACAGGAATTAGTGGACAGAACAGACTGACCAGCAGTGATGACTAATGTCCAGTAAATATTCAGTGGGGTATTTGATTCATGGTTACAGTTACTTTTTCATGGCTTCCCCATAATGGGGTAGTTCTAGACTATGGTCATAATTCCAACAGGCAACATTATCTTGTCATCACATGTTAAAGGGTTGCATTGGGGGGATCCTTAATATTGCATGGTGCAGATGTAATTATGCAGGTAGTATACTAGATTCGTGAAGCATGACTTTTATTTTCATCCTATTATTTTTGTTTTCTAGCTGTGTCTGTTGGCAAAGGTACACATCCACACTCGTCTCTGGTTCAAGAATGAATATTTATTTTGTCATTGGTCAATATCTGTGAATGTTTGAGAGGAGCAAATATTGGTCCACAGACGCATTGCAGAGACAATGAGTAATATGGTCACCCTTTTTTTTTTTTCTTCTTTTTTCCAAACTTTATTTCTTCCTGTGCATGGGAATAGAATATGATATTGCTATTATTATTGTTATTGCTGTTGTTATATTGTTCTTGTTATTTAACCCTTTGACTGCATTAGGAGACTGTGTTACAAGTCTAAACTATTATTCATGACACATTCGGTAACCACTGTGTACAGCTTTGAAATCCATGGAGTCCACATGTTGCCAATTGAGTCTAGAGGCAGAACTCCTAAAACTAAGATCACACTAGTCTTCTCTGTCCTGGGATCTCTAGACAGCCTCCCTGTAGTCTGGTCAGCTGATGAATCACAAGCTGTAGCTGACCAGACTTTGGCCAGGGTGACTAGGGATCCCAGGACAGAGAAGACTAGTGTGACCTCTGCTTAAGATGAACACAGACGCTGAAGAATGAAGAATGTTATGACTGATATGTACTTACAACATATCTTGCACAATAGAAAAATGATTTTGTTTGTCTTTCAAACAGAAGATGGTTTTCAGTCTTTCACATGCTTTGAAAAAGGTTTTATTAAACTGTAAATACCTGTAGGTGCTCTGGTGGCAAAAGTAGATTTTTTTTTTTTTTTTTTTTTTTTTCATAATTTTAATCAATAAAGCCTCAATTTTCATAGGAAATCACCCTTTTGAGTATTTTCATACTCAAGAATTGAATTTTTGCCATCATTTCAAATAAGAAAAACAGCAGTAATGTTCCCATTAGCATTAATTATTTTGTTATAAAGATGCTATGGAATTTTAGACTGTGGTCAAAGGGTTAATCACTTCATTATTCTTCCTCATAATCTTAATCTTCTTATTGTTATTATTGCCAATAATATTATTAATATTTTAATGGTATGTTTTTATTATTATTATTTTCTTCTTCCTGTGTGTCTAATAGTTTCATTATTAAGTTGAGATTGATTATAAAAGTAATATAATCTTTATCATTGGTATTCATTATAGAAAAGAAATAATTTCTGTTTATTATTGGTATGATTGTTATTTTGATTGTTATTACTATTAATACTATTATGAATGATATTGTAATGCTTCATATTAGACAAAGTTCCATATATTTTGTTGTTATTTGCATACAGATTTACATGTCTATTTTTTTTGTCAACATATCCACTGACACAAACATGCTCATGTGATGAAAACACACACACACACATATACACACCCACACCCACACACACACACACACAAAAAAATAGATAAAAAATAACCCTCTTTTGGTGCAATGGGGTGTGACATAACCCAAGTGATGATTTATTTTAATTATCAAATTTTTGCCAGCATTAATACAGCCACCCTCTCGGAAAATGTTTTTTCAAGGAATTGCCACAATCATCAGACCATCAGACATTTAAAGATTTAAAGACTTAATTTCAATTCCATTTGTTACAATGAATATTCTTTGCTATGGCACACTGTTTTATTTTGCTTCCAAATCTATCTCTTTGTGCAAGGAATGGCTGGGGTTACCATCCACTGAAAGAGCACAGGATTAAACACAGGTCTGCAAAATTGCTAAACCAACACGCTAACCACTGCGCTAGCCCAGGGGAGTAGATTTACAATAATTTTGCCTTTTGAATGATTATGTATGTGAATAAACTTTGTATATGCCTATTCAACACAGTAAATTTGATAAATGAATAGACAAGAACTTATTCTTTATGGATTAACTCTTTGAAAATATGTTGATATTAAAAATGAATACCATGCCCTGTAGTGTGAAATAACCAAACAAACTTGTACATTTTCGGAATGAATATTTTCTTTTTTGTATTTCTTTTTCTTAATATATATGTTTCCTTGTGAGGTGAATATATTGAAACGTGTCTGGTAAAGTTAATTATGTATAAACATTTGATGCATGATTAAGCACCAGCAAAAAGAGAGAGAGAGAGGGAGAGAAAAGGAGGAGGAATTACGATAAAATGCTTAGGGTTAATCACACCTCATTGCAGTAATGGTGCTTTAACCTTTTATATCTGGACTCTTGAGATGCTGGATTTCCTTGATCTTTTTTTTTTTTTTTTTTTTTTTTTTTTTTTTTTTTTTTTTTCTTTTTTTTCTTTTCTTTTTTTTCCAGAAAACATGACTCATGTGATTATAGCAACATTTATAGCAGGTATAAAAGATTGTCCCAAATATGAGAGAACAATAGAATGAGTGGCAAGAGTCTGACGTGGTTGTTCAAAGCTCAAGTGACTGTATACGTCTCTCACAGATGTAAAGGATTATGATAGCACTGTGCCAATGGAGGGTTAGAAATGATTTTAGATTAATTTTAACAACAGCAAAATAACAGCAACAAATGGATGGTGCTTTGAGTTTGAGCAGTTGTATAAAATATTCGACTTTTACTATTATTTTATTTTAGGTCCACTTCGAAAGCAGGGTGAGGAAATTGATGACTCTCAGGACTACCATGTGATTAGCCATATTGGGCTATTTTATGCTCATATAAAGTAGAAATTTTGTGGGAATTATGTCTTGGTACAGGCATTATCGATAATTCTTTTGCCTTGGGGAGGGAGGCATGTGGAGAACTTGGAAAATTGGTACAAGCATCATTTTTTAAAAACTTTTCCATTATTCACTTTACATAGAGACATTCCATTATGAACCCATTGCCAAACCTTATAGCAGAATGATTAGAGTAATTAATAAGTTTCATGTTGCAGAACTCTCAGGAATATTAAATGCACCCATATTCACACTCATTCACTCACTCACTGACACACTCACTCACACACTCACTCACAAACTCACAGACACTCACTAACACACACTCACAAACATTCAGTCCCTCATTCACTCTCACACTTACATACACTCACACTCATTCACTTGCACATGCTTGCTAACTTGCACTTACTCACTTCTGCAATCTCATACATTCACGCTCTCTCTATCACTCACTCACTCACTCGTTCATTCACGTACTCACTCATGCACACAAATACACTCTCTCTCACTCTCTCTCTCTCTCTCTCTCTCCTCTCTCTCTCTCTCTCTCTCTCTCTCTCTCTCTCTCTCTCTCTCTCTCTCTCTCTCTCTCTCTCTCTCTCTCTCTCTCTCACTCTCCTCTCACTCTCACTCTCTCTCTCTCTCTCTCTCTCTTCTCTCTCTCTCTCTCTCTCTCTCTCTCTCTCTCTCTCTCTCTCTCTCTCTCTCTCTCTCTCTCTCTCTCTCTCTCTCACTCACAGTTTCTCACACACACACACACACACACACACACACACACACACACACACACCACACACACACACACACACACACACACACCACACACACACACACACACACACACACACACACACACACACACACCACACACACCACACACACACACACACACACACACACACACACACACACACACACACACACACACACACACACACACACACACACACACACACACACACACACACACAACACACACACACACACACACACACACAACACACACACACACACACACAAACAGCACACACACACACACACACACACACACACACACACACACACACACACACACAACACACACACAAACATGCACACACACACACACACAAACATGCACACACACACACACACACACACACACACACACACACACACACACACACACACACACACACACACACACACACACACACACACACACACACCACACACACACACACACACACACACATACACACACACACACACACACACACACACACACACACACACACACACACACACACACACACACACACACACACACACACACACACACACACACACACACTCACACTCACACACACTCAGGTACTCACACTCACACACACTCAGGTACTCACACTCACACACACCCACTCACACTCACACACACTCAGGTACACACACTCACACACACTCAGCTACACACACTCATACTCTACACACTCATACTCAGCTACACACACACTCACTACACACACACACTCAGCTACACACACACACACACTTACACACACATGCACCACAACACACACACACACACACACACACACACACACACACACACACACACACACACACACACACACACACACACACACACACACACACACACACACACACACACACACACTCAGCTACACACACACAGATGGACTCTCAGCCACACACACACATTTGAAACACACACACACTCAGCCACATACACACATTGTGTACATGTATACACACATACTGATACACATGAGATTGCTACAAGTGTAAGTCTTTAGAATTACACAGTTAAAATTTATTCAGAAGTAGCATTTTGTGGAAATTGTCTTTTTGCAAGTTGAATGTTAAAGTTTACAGAAGGAAGAAGTCTCCGAAAATTCCTATACTCAGCCATATCCTTAAGGCAAATATGCACCTGGAGCAGAAGGTGATTGTTAACAAGATGCAACTTTTGTGAGTAATGTCACTGTATTTTGGAGAGCTGTATCATAATTAGCCTTTCCATTATCACATGATTTCCATCAGGCTATCATCCATCACCACGAACTTGTCTGCATCTTTGCCTTGATAAAGATAAGAGTATAGTAAGGTATATGACAAGGAAAGCTGTAATCTGTTTTCACTTTTTATTTTTTGATCTTGAGATATGGAATAGAAAACAACAAAAGCTCTTCTTTCCACAAAGTTTCAAATGATGTTAGTTCTGTGTAAATGTATAAGTCATTTATACATGGCCAGACTATTATCATTATTTTCTAGAAATTTATCTGATTATTTTTAGTCAGGTCACATGGAAATTGTTGTTTTCTAGTCATGATATCTTTATAATTCTATAATTTCAGGGAGTGGTTGCTTATTTAAAAAAAAAAAAAAAAGAAAAAAAAAGGAAAATGAATTTCGTCCATCAGAACCTAGAAATTACACCCATGTCTTATTGTTGTAAATTGTTAATATAATTTTTTTTTCTTCCCCTCTCTCTTTTTTTTCTTTCTTCACCAGTTATACGGTGTTCCTCTCCACTCAGGAACCACTGCTGTGCAAACCATGGCGTGGTTGGCAGCAAATCGTTTTAACAAGTATCATAACATGTTTGCAAATTTTACGGGCACAGACATCCTTAGACTTTCTCGGTCAGACCTAATAGAAATGTGCGGCCTGGCAGATGGGATCAGACTCTTCAATGCTTTGCATGCCAAGTAAGTATACAAAGAAACAAACCAACACATGCAGACTCAGGCATTGGTATAAGAACATGCACACGTAATACTTATATACATACATACATATTTACATAGATATATAAATACATACATACATATAAATATATATATTCACATATATACACACATAGACACATATATTCAAATATACACACATACATACATACACATATATATACATATATATACACATAGACACACGCACACACACACACACGCACACACACACCACACACACACACACACACACACACACACACAACACACACACACACACACACACACACACACACAACACACACACAACACCACACACACTCACATACATACACACATCTCTCAACATACAACACACTCTCACACACACACAACATCATCTCACACACACACTACACTCTCACACACACACACACACACACACACACACACACACACACACACACACACACACACACACACACACACACACACACACACACACACACACACACACACACACACACACACACACACACACACACACACACACACACAACAACACACACACACACACACACACACACACACACACACACACACACACACACACACACAACACACACACACACACACACACACACACACACACACACACACACACACACACATACACACACACACACACAGTACACAACACACACACACACACACACACACACACACACACAGCACACACACACACAATACACAGAACACAGACTCACAATATACAGAACACACACACACAATATACAGAACACACACACACAATACACAGAACACACACACACACACACACACATACACACACACACACAACACACAATACACAGCACACACACAACACACACACATAACACACACACGCAACACACACACACATACACAAAAAAAATTGAGACAATAAATGCACATTCTTTTGTTGTTATCTGTGGTTATGTATAGATATTTTCATATGAAATGGTATACATATAAGCCAGAAGTTTTGTATTGCTTCAGGACCATGATTTTGCATGGTTAAGTAATGGGTATTTCAGGGGTCATTTGTTTTTTCATTATTTTCACAAGCATACAAAAAATGTACTTTTTTTTTTTTTTTTTTTTTGCCAAGACCCCCTCCTCCCCCCTCCAGAGTGTACAAAGCAAAAAGATAAAAATGACGACCTCTGCCACAAGATCTCCAGGGTTGAAAGCAGTGGTGCACAAAGGCTGGGTGATGATGCCCGGGGCCAACTCCTAGATTGTATGTTCAAACAACTTGAGTATAAGGCCTAACACTGAGAAAAGTTATGGGAAAGGGAGATATTTTGAATATGGAATTATTGATGAAACATGAAATCAGCATTTTATTTGATTTAGATATAATTTTCAAAATCACTTTCTTATTTTCCCTTCTGATTGGATGCCCTCCCCCACCCCCTGGATGCCTTGAGCCACCACCCCATCATTTCCACCCCTCTTTGCCTGCCATTGGCCAGAAGAGGCAATAATACAGACAGATACTAGCAGGCAAACATTATAGTCAATGAAGGATGGCCTGTCTTTGTTAATGGGGCTTTCATCTTGAGAATAGAATTAATTCTAAAGCATGAATGTAGTAGTTTTGTACACTCATGAAAATGGTGAAAGAAATGGAAGACTCCTTAGTCAGTAAGGTTATGATACTCCTAAAAAGCATATGCCAGAAATTACCCCCCACCCTCCCCTGTGTATGGTTTTGTATTCTCATGAAAATGATTAAAAAAAAAGTGGAAGACCCTGTAGTCAGTAAGGTTATAGAGAAAACGCACACCTGCTGTTATGCAAAATTATCAGAGAAATCCTGTCAGAGAGGGTGAACAGTCACTGAAAGCCTTTCAAAATAGTGTGTTATTGGCTCGACAGCATTAACTAGATAGCATATAATTAAGTGAGGGAATCGTAAGTCATGCAGCAGTGTGGGTTGAGGTAAATGTTTGAAGTAAAGAGTTCATAGTAGAAAAAATTAATACTTAGAAAATTTAGACATAAACAAAAGATAGAATAGAAGATAAAATAGATATGACATGCCCACCAATAGGAGTGCCTCATGATAACTTTAGGGTGGTTGAAAGCCCACTGTCCTCGTAACCAAAGGAAAAACAAAACAAAACAAAGTCACTGAGATGTCTTCAGTATGGCTATCCTATCCAGACTTTGTTTTGGAAAAATTGTAGGAACGCTTTTGAGAAAAGAGAGATGGGGTAATTTCTCTCTCTCCCTCCGCCCATGACCATACCACTGGACATATTACATGAAGCCTTGTAGGCCAGGTGCATACGTTGGCTCATGTGAAGTGAAGAGACTCCATGCCTTGCCTTTGCAATATTATTTTGTCTTTCTGCAAAAGCCATTTTAACTTTTTTTTGCTATTTTCCACTCTATTTGTCATTTGACTTGCTTTATCCAGATGGTAATACTGTTTTCCATGCACATGTGTCATTTTATTATTATTATTATTATTGTTGTTTTCAGTTTTTGTTTTGTAATGTTCAATTTTCTGTAAAACAATCTGTGCAGTTTGGTCATGATGGGCAGGAATAGGGCCCTGAGCATGGAAATAGCTTTCTCCCTGGAGCCGGCTCTCCCCTAGTCATGGCTTATGTATGGGACCTTCCACAGTCATTTATCAATGAAAATAGTTCAAAAGCCCCATTGAGTCTAATCACCCTCCAAGAACTAAGTGTGCACTCATGGTGAGTCATTCCTGTTACCCCGGCCTTCAGCTGAAATTCTCATGATATAGTCGTGTCAACCCAGCCATCAGCCAGATTTTCCCATGACAGCATGTTCATGTCACCATCCCACAAGCCAAATTTTTTCATGACATGATGGTCATGTCATCCCAATTGTAAAGAAGGCAAAGAAAATAGTTCTATCAATGAGACTGCTTATTATTTTAACTAGAGTGTCATACAATAACAAAGAAAGTTAAATACGAAAGATTAAAAAATCAGCCAAGTATTTATAAATCTAATGATCGAGAAAAGGAAAACATAAACTGAAAATATTAGAGTACCTGGAATATATAAACTTTTCGAACCACTGTACTGTTTGCTATGATGTTATTGAATGTCTTCCAGATATATAATGTGACCACTCAGATAAAATGAAGCACAACCAGATGGGAACAGATTAGCTGATTCTGTCACACTTGTGGTTGTGCTTCATTGCATTTAAAGTGATTATTCTTGTATATTTATCATTTATTTATTTTTATTTGTTTTTTATTTTTTTTCTACCTTATATGGACAAATAATTTTAAAGGCTTCAATAGTAGGAAGACATTGTTTAAACTAATTATTATATGTCATGAATGCAAGTTTTTGTTCGTTTGTCATTAGATTTTTCATTTAAAATGGACATGACATCTAGATGAGAATAAAGAAGGATGAAGCCAGAAAGACAAAACTTTCATTTTATTTTTGCATTTATATTATTATCCTTTATTTATTTACATGTTTGTTCATCTATTTATGCAAATGCTAATAAAAGAGGAAGCTCAAGTGAAAATCTGCATTTTTTGACCAAAGCAGAAACTTTCTGTGCTGTAAGGCAGATAGTCAAGA